GGCCCCCCGCCCCGCCCTCGAACAGCTGTACCACCCGCTGCCGCTCTGTGCCCTGGCAACTGCTGCGCTTGTTTTCTTGGGTTGGATGTGGGAAATGGCTCGTGCCACAGCAGCTGCTCTACTCTCCTCCCCAGGCCTGTGCTGGATCCCCTCCGTCTGAGAAACTTGCTATGGCCATGGCCAGAATCTTGCTCTCCAGGGCAAAGAATGAGCCCTGCTGCTGCAAGAGCCTTCCAAGTGTTGTGTTTGTCAAAGCCCAAGCACATAAACATGTCTCTGTACAGCACAGAAAATCCAGTTTACACAACAGTACTTTTCCCAAGGTCTTGGAGGTAGTTGAGCAAGTAGCACTTCTCTCTCCTGAGCTGTGACCTTGTCTTAAGGGGCCTGCTGCAGCTTTTTATTTGATAGGCATGATGGCAGGCAGCAAGATGCCTTGGAGCCAGCCTGGGCTGTGGGAGTGTGAGGTCTTGCTGGAAGATGCTCTGTTCTGTTTGCAGTTAGTGGGCACAAGGTGGCAATGAGCGGTGTTGGATTAATATTTCAAGGATCACCCCCTTCCTGTGGCAGTGAAGATATAGTGACCTTGTCCTGGAAAGAAAGGTGAACATAAATTGGTAGCCTGTATCTCATTGGAAATAAATTGACCTCTTCCAAGTCACAGAGGGGAGAACCCCTATGTGCCTGCCAGCACACTTTAATGCCAACAAATTAACAGCCTGAAGAGGCCAACTGGCTCCATGTCCTCTCGGGGGACTCAAGCCTGGAAGGGCTGCAAGAGGTCAGTGTTTCTGCCCCTGTAGCTCTGCTGGGGGCAGAAACTGCAGGAGGAAACCAACTGTTCAAGTCACCACTGTTCAAGCTACTACTGCCAGACAGCAGCGGATGAGCAATATTTGCAGGAGCAGCTCCCTGGCAGCAGCGGGGAGAGGGAGTGCAGCCTCAGCTCTTTCTGGAGCTGTCACCTGATGGCATCAGCAACATTTCTAGGTCAGTCCTACAACTTGGAGTCACTCATTTGCCGGCTATCAGATAAGAAGCAGAGGCCTTTGCACCTTTCTGATGTGTTGGCAGATTGGAGGGGTCTGTCAGGGATTGCTGAACTTTTAGAAAAGCTGTTTTGGTGCCTGCCAGGGTGCTGGCTGGAGCAGCAGGGCAAGCCAAAAAGCCCTTCCCACCCATGCTGATAGTCAGGGCCAGTTCCTTACATCTTGAAAGGTGATGTTGTCGAAGCCCCGTGGGGCACTGCTCTCTGCCAGCATCCTGCTCCTTTGTCCTCTCCTCTTCAGCAAGTAATGGCCTCCTCCCGCTAGCATGGCCAGGACGGTGAGGGCCAGGAGGAGGCCGATCACCACCTCTGCCACGAGGCTGCTGGAGGACTTCTTCTCTGTGAACGAAAGGAGATGCTGCTGAGCCAGAGCTGTTTCCAAGGAGGGCCCGGAGCCATCCAGGGTTTACCCTTCCCAGGCTAAGCGAGGCTCCTGCCCTGCCCAGGACGTCTCATGGGAGCTGGCAGTGGCGGCAGCATCCTGTACCGGTGCTGCTCATGGTGGGTTAATTCTGCCAGCAGGGCTGAGGGCAGCGTGCGCTGAGCTGCTGTGTGCAGCCCAAAAGATGCACCGTTGTCCCTTGCTCCCGTCCTACCCACTCGGAAGGCCTCCGTCATTATGGATGCGGCTGTCTTGTACCATCGGCCTCCCCTTGGGTTTCTCAAAAGGCCCCAGGAAATATAAAACCTTGTGCTTTAAGTGCTGAAACATGAGGTCGGGTGGGCAGCCATGCCCCAGCTCTGCCGCTGAAGGTTGGTGCGAGCTGCTCGGGCGTGTGGGACCACAGGCTGCTGGGCGCTTGCTGAGGCCATGGGGGTGCAGAAACAGCATGAGATGCTGTTGCCCTGAGCTGCTGCAAATGCCAGAAGCCCCTCACCTTTCCCCAGCACATCTGGGTCAGAATCGCAGCCCTTTCCAGCGCTGTATGTTACGTCATCCAGAGCCACCGTCCCTCTTATCGGCCACGTCCCAGTGGCAATCTCAAAGACGATCTGCAGGAGAGCAGGTGCTGCGTGACGCGGTGTTGGGGGCTGCCGTGCACCCAGCAGCCCTGCGGCGAGGGCAGGACTGGCCAGGGCCCGCGGCCCCCCCCCCCCGGTGCAGCCTCACGCGCAGCTCCCCACCAGCTGCAGCACAGCAGTGAGGAGGCCCCCAACATCAACACCCGGGGGGTCACCATGCCCCTCCAGGCGCGCCGCACTCCACGGAGCAGGCAGAGCCCACCAGGATGGGCCCTCCCTGCTGCGCAGTGGGCGCTGGGGGGGCTACAGCCCTTGATTGAGCCCCCAGCTCCCACCACGAGCTCACTTGCCCCCTGTGCGCGCCGCAGCACTTACGGAGGTGCTCCGGGATGTCCATGTGGTACCAGAAGTGGAGGCAGGAGGCTGCAGCTGCGGGCAGGTGCTGGCTCTCCAGCTGGGCAGTGGTGCCCCCGGGGCCCAGCACACTGGCATCGAAGAACACGTAGCGACCTGCGCAGCGAGCAGAGAGCACAGGGGATTCCCTCTGTGCTGCATCGCCCTGGTCACGTCCTGCTCCCCTGGGAACCTCCCTGCCTCCCCAGCCCCTGGCTGCCCATGGGGCTGAGCTGTCCCTCCCTGGAGAGGGGAATGGGACGCAGTGGAGCCAGCTGTCGCCAGTATATGTTCAAGGCTGGGCCTGCAGTGGCACCGTGCTGGACCAGGGTGCCCCCATGGCAGGTGTCTGCCTCCACAGGGTGGAGGATCTGCCCCCCTGGATTGACCTGGGCCCAGGCTGGAGCTGGCATGTGGCTGTTAAGGCTGCTTGCCCAGCCTCCCAGGATGCTCCAGGGAAGCAACCGTGGGTGACTCCATCTATCTGCAGGTTATCTCGTCCACTTGATCATGCCAGGATGTCCCAGGATGGAGGTTTCCTACCGTCCTTTGTGCCCAGGGTGTGATCCTGCTCCGGACCAGGGTATTTGGCCAGGGGGACTCCACTCTTCCAACCCCAGGCGAAGCCGTGTGGGTTGTCATCGGTGGGGCTGCTCCAGCCGCACATGTCCACCTCAAAGTCACAAGAACCTGGGAGAAAGCCCTGGGTGCTGAAGTGATGCATGGGACATTGCAGGGTCACCTTCCCTCTGCACCCACCAAGTGCCCTGGTGTGTCTTGGTGAGCCCCCACTTCCCTGGGAGCCACAAATTTGAGCCATGCAAAGCTCAAGGGTGGCACAAGGTGGCCGATTCCCCCCTTGGCCCTCTTGTCAGGAAGACGGGATGGGCCAGGCCAGCCACCCCTGGGCCAGCCACGGCAGAGCCACCATTGTGTCGCGTGGGCTCTCACCTGGCTCGGAGCAAGCACCGTCCGCCACGTGCAGATCATCCAGTGCGATGTACGCATCGTCCCCTCCGCCGCCCGTGGCCTCGAATAGCGCCTGCCGGGGAGTTCGGAGCGGGGCACAGGCTGAGGCTGAGGCCAGTAGATCCCCGACACCCAGCACTTAGCCCCAGAAGGCCCGAGGGACTCGTTGTCCACTGGTGCTGGTGTCCCAAGCACCTGTCCCCTCGCATGGCCATGCCTCCTGCAGCCACCATCCCGGCTGGAATGGGAGGCACCTGAGTTCTGCAGCGGCTGGGACCTGCCCCGGCTCACCCTCCACTCCTGGTCTGCCTGGACAGTGACTTGGCCATGGTGCCAGGCGCTCCCCTGCATGGCGCTCACAGCAAACAGCTGCCTCCTCTGCGTGCCGCTCTCCTCCACAAAGACGCTGAGGGAACCTGTCAAGGGCCAGAGACGCTGGATGTGCAGGCCAAGGTGTGAGGAGGGGACTGAGGGCACTGCTGTGCCTTGGCCCCAGCAGAGCCAACCAGCCTCCGCTCTGCTTTGGAGAGCTCGTCATGGGCTTAGCGGGTCTGAGGGCAGAGTTGGCAATGGCATCAGCTTGTCTGGCTCTGAGGCCATAGTGACCACACGTGTTTCTTGATGGTCACCACGTCCCGCTGTTGCAAGGGTCCAGATCCTTCCCTGGACACCACAGGCCAGAGGCAAGAAATGATTTTGCCCCAGGAGGCTGTGACATGGGGGCAGGGAGCTTGTCCCAGGGTTCCCATCCCAGAGCAGTGTCCCAGGCAAGACCCTGGGCTTTCGCCAGGACGCGGTGCTTACCCGGGGCCTCGCCGCCCAGCTGGTACCAGAAGGTCAGGCACTGGGCTTGTGTGGAGGACTCGTAGAGCTCAGAGGAGAGCAGGGCCACATGCCCCGTGGGCAAGGAGCCCTTGCTGGTGTTAATCAGCATGTAATGGCCTGGGGAAAGAAAAGCCCCCATGCTGTAACCTTGCTGAGCCACCCTGTCCACAGCAAGGGACAGCAGAGTCAGTCGGGAACCCAATGGGTTTGGGGAGCTCTGGGTTTGGGGAGCTCGGTGCCCCTCAGTGCTCATCTCATGCTCAAGCAGGAGCTTGGGGTGTGGAGGATGGGGTGCCCGGCCTGGTGGCCAGTGGGCAGCAAAGGGGCACCCTTGGCACCAGCGGGTAGGACAGGTATGGGGATAGGGTGAGGAGAAGGGATGGGGATGCTGCAGGTCTTGGTCAGGGGCTGTCAGGTAGCATTGGGGCAGGAGCAGGGGGTGAGAGGCTGGCAGGGAAGGGGCAGCAGCGAGGACAGGGACACAGGATCAGGAGCAGGAGGGAACCCTGGTACCTGTGGCCGTGCGGGTGGTGTGGTCGGCCGACGGGCCGTGGGCGCCGCTGTCGCTGCTCTGGCGCAGCCAGGTGGGCTGCCCGCTGGCCACGAGCCCACAAGTGCCGGCCTCGAAGGAGCAGGAGGCCGGGGCGCCGCAGGGCCCCGCGCGCGGCGTCACGTCATCCAGCGCCACGCTGCCCACGAAGCCGTCGCGCAGCGCCTCGAACACCAGCTGCAGGGCCGGGCAGAGACACCCGCTCGAGACGCAGCCCCTGGCGTCCCCGCTGGCCATCGCCCGCGGCCGCCCCGCGCTGCCTCACCCGGAACGCGCGCTCTCCCTCCGGGTTGAGCGTGGTGAAGCCCCGGTGCCACACGCTGCCCTGGGCCCCTCTCCTGGTCCACAGCACCGTCTCCTCCTCTTCCTCACGCTGCAGCCTGGGGCTGAGGGTGCCTGGGCAGAGGGGAGCCGTGGGGGTGGCCACACCGCTGCTTGCAGCCGCCCTGCCCCACGCCCGGGGCCGTTTTCCACCCCGCAGGGGCGGCGGCGGGAGCCTACCGATCTGCGGGCCGGCCATGCGGTACCAGAAGGAGAGGCACTGCGCGGCGGCGGGCGGCTGCTGGTAAGCGGTGATGAGCTGTGCCCACTGCCCACGCGTCCCGGCTGCGGCGGGGGCCGCGGCGAGGAAGTACCCTGCAGTCATAGATGGGGAGGCGGTAGGAAACGGGGTGCTCCGAGCTCGCCCAGGAAGGGGCGGCCGGAGGAGCCAGCAGAGCTCACCTGAGCCGGTGGTGTGGTCGGGTCCCTGGCCCTGCTCCGAGCCCCGGACCCATTGGAAGTCACTGCGCTGATCCTGGTACCAGCCGCACATGCCCGTCTCGAAGTTGCAAGACAGCTCTGGCCAGTGGGAGAGGATGGCAGCAAGGGTGGAGGGATAAGGCACCCCAAACGCAAGCAGCCCTCCAAACGTGCTTTTCTTTTTGCCCCTGCCTTGGCCTGTCTGCTCTCTC